ATTACTCCACAGCCATTTGTAGCACTCAAGTGACCCGAGGACACAGACAAACTTCCATGTTGCCTCAATGACTCTCTAAAAGGATGCAAACTACACTTCCAAACAAGAAGCTACTTTAGCATCAAAGGTTGTAGTATTTTTATTTCCCACCATCCAGTCAGAGCTGAAGAAGCTCCTTGGATGAGAAGCAAAACATCTTCAATGAAAAACCAGTTGCCTCCTGGAAAAAAAAAACACCTTTGGGACAACAGTTGGAGGATTGTATTTTACAACACTTTTGCTGGATAGATAGATAGATAGGGAGGGAGGAGAGGAGAGGAGAGGAGAGGAGGAAAGGACAGGGGGGAGAAAGGAAAGGAGGAAGGGAAGGGAGGAAAGAAAGAAACAAAAGGAGGAAAGAAGGAAAGGAGGAAGGGAAGGGAAAGGGGGAAAGAAGGAAGGAAAAGACCGGAAAGGAAAAAGGAAAGGAAGAAGGGAAGAAGGGAAGGCCAGGCTCCTGCATAGCCCAATCACATAGTTTCATCCTGAAGCACGGGTATCTAGCTAGTTTTCAATAAAATGTAAGTTTGCTGCACAATAAAGACTAACATGAAAACTTCTTTTGAAATTCATGACTCCAGCAAAAGATCAAATTCCAGGTTCTTGTTTGTTTTCATCCCTGAGGCATTAAAACACATGTATTTAAAATAAAACTGGAATCAGTGGGTGTGGATAGAACTGGTGGGAACTATTTATGAAGTCTCCTTTTCATTAGAGCTGCATTTTTATGGCTTTCGTGAATGCACAATTCCATTATGTAGAAATCTGGAGGCAGATATGTGGTATTCCTAACCTCAAAAGGGCAGAGAGGTATTACAGATAACTAAACAGCAACAGCAGTTGTAGCATAATACTTTTATCAGGACCTGCTAAGTTAGCTTCTATAAAGGTTAGATCCAAAAATTCAGGTCTCAAGCGACTCTTGATGAAAATATAGTAACAGTAGTATAGTATCAGCACATGGATTATGGAACTTTTTTAGTGGATTAATTTGTTAAATTAGCACCTGGAGGCAGAATAAGAAGCAATAGATGGAAACTAATCAAGGAGAGAACCAACCTGGAACTAAGGAGACATTTCCTGGCAGTTAAAACAATCAGTGGAATGACTTGCCTCCAGAAATTGTGGCAGCTCCAACACTGGAGGGTTTGAAGAAGAGATTGAACAACCATTTGTCTGAAATAGCAGTAGCACTTAAACTTATATGCCACTTCACAGCCCTCTTTAAGCACTTTACAATGTCAGCATATTGCCCCCCAGTAATCTGGGTCCTCATTTTACCGACTTCAGAAGAATGGAAGGCTTGAGCCGGTGAGGATCAAACTCCCGGGAGTAAGCTGAATTACCCTGCAATACTACATTCTAATCACTACACTGCCACAGCTCCGGAAATGCTATAAGGTTTTCTCTTCGATCAGGAGACCACCAAAGTCCCTAACCACTCTGTTATTTCTTTAACAAGTTTCTTTGTGCCAATAATGACCCATTTAAGATAGATTTTCATGTTAGATGTTTTCATCTGGCGTATCAAAAATATTTATTGGATTTGGTTAATTTGCAGAAGATGGACAAATAGTCAATTTCCACCCCAAATTATTTCTATGTACTTTTCCAAACTCCATTTGGAAAATTCAGAAACTGCAGAAGCTGATAAATTCCTGAGTTCCAACAGATATGTTAGTCTGTCAAGTGTTGATTAAGTCAGTTCCTACTGAAAGTCACAGAAATAGCTTATCTATTCAACTCCCATTCTGCATTTTTCATTCCAGAAATGAGTTTCAGTTTCCCCCCCCACTTTATTGGAAAAAACCAACCTGAGTCTGTTTTTATATATTTGCTTATCATAAGCAGGGACTGTGACCACAGTATACATTTTGGTTCCTACTTGCTTATATTTTGGTGACTCTTCTAATAACTAAATATAAAGAAACTGGAGAAATTCTGTGTGTGTGTGTGTGTGTGTGAGAGAGAGAGAGAGAGAGAGAGAGAGAGAGAGAGAGAGAGAGAGAGAGAGAGAGAGAGAGGATGGATGTGAATCTTGGTTGCCCCAGGACTACCATTTCATTCTCAGACTTTATAGGAGGTAGCTGTGCTGGTGCTCTATATTTGCTTGCTTAACAGACTATTTCATTATTGAGTAGAGTAGAGTAGAGTAGAGTAGAGTAGAGTAGAGTAGAGTAGAATAGAATAGAATAGAATAGAATAGAATAGAATAGAATAGAACAGAACAGAACTCCGTGTACATACAATGAATGTGTAGAGATTTAGATATTAGAATTTGTAGAGATTGTCTAGCTCTTGTTTTTCCAGTCTTTTGGACCTTCTTCCTGTTAAAGTATATACAGCAGCTAATAAAATAGAACGAAAAGTTGATCCTTTGTTAAAAGTAATATTGTTAAACTGACATTCATAGAGTAGGGTAGAGGGAGGAATCATCTAAAGTGTTCTTGAAAATGAAGCATTTTGAACCATCATATTTTTGGATTGAGCTCCTACTTTTTTTAAAAAAAGAATATCTATAGCATAACTCATACCCTTCTCAACACTGGTTCATATTGTTAACTCTCCTGAGTAACATTTTAAAGTATATTTATAACTTGGATTTTTCTTTAGGGGAGCACAGAGTGGCTTTTGCTGAGTTTTTTTAAGGCAATCTTACATAAAGTCTATGCAGAAACACTGTATAGCTATAACTAAGGTTTGCTGGTTGCATAATTAATGTAATCTGAATAGCTTGCTTAGAGTCATCTCCATTACTGCTCTATTGTAATAAAGGCTCCATCCCTTAGGGAAGTGCATGTAATATGGTTTTCTTCATTGGCCTCCTCCCTCTCCCCAGCCGCTGGACATCCCTAAGATGACCAATGAGCTTATCAGCTTTAAAAAAATGTGTATAGTTTTTACACACCATTGGTTGTCTTCTTTCGTCCAAAAATGTTGAATTTAATTCAAATGGTTCTAATTAAAATAATAATAATAAGAAAAAGCAGTGATTTTCAAGAAGAATTTCTAGTCTGAATTCTAAATGTGAATTTTCTACCAATGCTTTGGAGCACTGAAGAGGTACTTCAAAGAGATACTTAAATAAAAACTTTAAGGAGATACTTAAATAAAAGCCTTCACCGAGTTTGTTTCTAAGAAATCTGGATCTCAAAGTAAACAAGATGTATTTGGGATACTATGGTTAGATTATTATATGGTAGGATCTGGTTGTAAAAGTGTAGGTGAAGTTGCTTTCTAATTAGTAAAGACTACTGTAATTTTTTGGGAATTGTTTATTTTCAGAATGCCTTTGAATATGGATTTGTTCAGCACGCAACTAAAAGAAAGAACACCTTTGATTTCTTAATCTCAGCTGCTTTTTTAAAGAACATCAATATTGGCCACTGTTAGGAAACAGTATCCTCAGCTAAAATACATGTCTATCCCACAAGACAGTAGGATCTTGTGTGCTTGACAAAAATTCTAGTTCAGTATCCTACATTCCTTTATAACAGGCAAAATAAAAAATGTTTGGTTTCAAATCAACTTAAACCAGCCATGTTAAGGAAATGATGTGTATTAATATACAATATATTATAATATACAATATATTATACATGTCTGTCCAAGCAGGCAATGAAAATATGAATTAATATCATTCTAAATTATTATAAACAATATATTAAAATATATAAATAATAAAAGTAAAGGTTTCCCCTATCCAATCGTGTCCGATTCATCTCTGTTCCTTAGCTGAGGGAGCCCGGTGTTGTCTAAAGACACTTCTGTGTAACATGACCAGTTTGACTATATGGTGAGGTGCATAGAATGCTCTTACCTTCCCACCAAAGTGGTATCTATTTATCTACTCACATTTGCATGCTTTCGAACTCCTAGGTGAGTAGGAGCTGTAATGGGATTCACCCTGTTGTGAACCTCGGCTGTCAGCTTTCCAGCTGATAAGCTCAACATCTTTAACTGCTGAGCCATCACATCCCCTTATATTAATAATATTAATGACAAATTCACCATCAGTCCATCGCAAAAGGCAACTTTACTCAGAACAGATTACATTCTGCAATGATATCTATAAAACCATCAGACATCCACATCTGCTTATCCCCAGATCCCTAGGAAGGACTCGATAGTGGACAAAAGTTCCAAATCCTGCCTGAACATCTGGCTGACTGTATGATGGATCATAATAATATATAAAGGGGAGTGGTTGTAAGTTATGATCTTGGAGAAGTTTTGATATTTCTTGGGCGGGTTGATTTTATTTCTCAAAATGTCTTATTAATATTAGATCAAACAGTGAAGGGTTTTTTGTTTATATATTTCATGTACACAAAATAGTATCAAGTTTATGAGTGTGGTCTTCAACATCCCCCCCCCCCCCAGTTGTGCTTTTGGTATAAGACGTTATTTTATTCTCACCGTATCCACAGCAGTGATCACTGGCTCCAAAGTGTGATGGGATGTTTAACTCCTGCCACCTTTTATGTGCAGGCAATGAATACATCATATGTTTAAAAGGGGTGGGGTCTTGTTCCCCTGGTCATGTGCCTTTGTTTGAAGCCAGCAACTATTTCTGCAAGTGCCCTGATTATTTGGTCAGCATACACAAGAAATTCATATATATCTAAATTAATTATTTTTCATCACACTGAATTAAAACTGATGGGAAAATAGGCAGGGCATTAGTCACAGGCCAGCATTAGTCATAGCCACGACTGATGATGTCTCCCTGTAATTTTCAGAGTTCCCAGCCAGCATGCCAATTGCGAATTTTAGAAATAAGGTACCAGGCTAGGAAAGGATGGATTACAGAGCCTCTGTTGATATTTATATGTTCTGTAGCATCTACAGTTTTGTCATCTATTGCAGCTGGAGATAAAATAAATCCATAAAAAACAGAGTTGCTGATCTGCTGAAATTAAACAGATTGTTTTCTGTTTCTATCTCCTTTATATTTTTAGCTTGTCCCAGAGGCACCTTCAAAGCATCGGTGGGAGATGCCCCTTGCAGTCCTTGCCCTATGCACAGTTATGCTTCCATCCCGGGCTCCCGTGAATGTGCCTGCCAGACTCACTATTACCGGGCTTCTTCAGACGTCTCAGATGCCCCCTGTACCAGTAAGTATCTGAGATTAAGGAGGATTGGCTTAGTTTGGTCCATGTTTCCTTTTGTAGTTTGATTTCTTCTTCTGGCCCAGTCTGCATTTGCTCCTTTTTCCTTCAGCTTCTTCCATGATTCTTTCTCTGTGCTTTAGTTTCTTCCTCAAGTCCCTCATCTTCTTTTCTGAGGTCCCTAGTCCAGTTCTATTACATTTCATGGATTAGAGAGGTGTGTTCCCAAAACTGTTTTTTTTTAAAACTTCCTCTTGTACAGAACTATGGAAAGAACAGGGGTCTCCAGCCTTTCTAGGCTAAGCTGCCTATTTAAAGTTCTGAAAAATAAGTGATTGCTGGGTGGGATGGGAGAGAGGTTACTCATTCACAAAGTGGCTGTTCAAATATGACCTCAAGACATACTTAAAAATGAAGATAGTGATGGAAAGTGGTTTATGGTATTATAGATTCCATTGGCATAACCACATCAGCCTGTGACCTTAAAAACAGTGAAGTACCTTGTGGCTTTTTAAAGACTAATGTACTGTATCATTTTTTTAAATGACCTTCCTTTGGTAACATTCACAGGAATCAATATAGCCACAGAGACTGGTGATCTCCATCTTGGTTCTTCTCTTCTGAGGATTTTGATCACACATTTTTCCTCCTTTGTTACCTACCAAGCCATGTGGTGTTCACCATCAAAGCTATTTGATTTCTAGACATAATTGTTAAAGTTAAGTAGAATGTCCATCAGTCAGAGAATTGTCTGTATTTTTTAAGAGAAATAGGTTCAATTAATTTTAAGGTGTCTCCCAATGGCAAGCATTTTGCAAACAGCCACGATTCAGTGACAATTGTTGTTTTGGGGATGTTTATATTAAATTTGTGTTTAAGGTACATCAAGATTCCTTGTTAAAACTCAAAATGTACTTTAAAACATTTTTGAAAAGCACAGTGAAGCAGAAACATACTGAAGGTTACAATTAAATCCATATTCATGATTACTCAAATAATAATAATTGTCTGGCTGGGTTAAGCAATGACAGCTGGTCTAAATTTAATCTTCCTAATTTTTATTGCTCCATTAGCAAAATATGAGGATTTTAAGAGGTGGGGAGGAAAATGGAAGTGTGGTTCCCTATTGGTGGTAGTAGTAGCAATTCTTGAAATCTGGAAACAATTTGTCATGACTGTAGGCTGCTTTGGAGTACCAAACTGTGTAGTTTTCATCCTTGAAATTTGGGTTAAAATTGTTTCTTGGGAAAGATTTCTCTGTAGTTATATTTTACTGAGTTTGCTCCAGAGATAATGAAATAATATCACTGCCTACCTTTGCATTTTCTGTATTTGTCTTTTTTCTATTTCAGTTTTTCAGGATTTCATTTTTCACTGTTTTGTAGGCATCCCATCAGCCCCTCGGGATCTCAGCTATGAAATTATTGGATCCAATGTCCTCCTGACTTGGCGTCTCCCAAAGGATCTGGGTGGCCGAAAGGATGTTTTCTTCAATGTCATCTGTAAAGTGTGTCCGAATGGCTCTCCAGGACCTTGTGTCCGTTGTGGGGACAGTGTTCAGTTTGAACCCCGGCAGGTGGGGCTGACCGAAAGTCGAGTGCAAGTGTCCAACCTCCTGGCTCGTGTTCAGTATACTTTTGAGATTCAAGCAGTCAACCTTGTGACTGAACTGAGCCCAGATTCTCCCCATTATGCTGCCATCAATGTCAGCACCAGCCAATCAGGTAAACAGCATTTGCTCTTATCATTGCTTATTTTAACCTGTCTTGTTCCTCTATTTTCCTTCTCCAGTCTTAATCTCTTCTTTTTGCTGTCATAAAGACTGTGGATGATGATGAAATAAACCCAAAGAGAACAAGGGGTTTCCACTAATAGTGTGGGAGGAAACTTTAGCTAGAATCTCAGTCTCATGCCATTTATGACTACATATCAATCTTTTAGATAAGACTGTGAAGGCAATTTATGTGGAACAGAGATGGGTGAAATTGGTTAGAGGATAGAAAATGCCCATGTTTCTTCTCTCCTCCTACAAAACTAAAAAAACTTACCTTGGATCTTCATTTTGTGGCTGTGTGAAGTCACAGATGATGCAAGCTGCAGAAACAAATCTCTGTTTTCTTATTTTCTACACTATCTACCCATTATGTTGTGAAAGGTGTCCACAGATGTGTTTCAGGGTATATTTTTGAGATGTTGAGCTTAATGCTGGGAAACTCATGTCACCTAAAAGGAGAATGGAGGTGGGGTGCTGTACCTTTTTAAGTGGTCCAGCAATACCTTCAGGTATTTATAACCTTTCAAGATTTTGTAAGGATATGAAAAATAAATCTTGCAAAATTTTGAAATCCTATAAGATTTCAGCCTACGTTTTAGGTTTCATAGGGCCATCTAGAAGTGTCAGGGGTGTCTAGAAGCCCACTGCCAGTACATTTGAGCATCTTTTATAGTTTGCAACACCATGCTCAGGTTGTAATACTACGCACAGATTGTAATACTTCACGGAACAGGTAAGTTATGTCATCAAATTATTTAATGCAATTCATCAATATGTTTTTATTAAGTTCTCATATTTAATGGGACTTGTTACAGCATTGCAAGATAAAGCTTTCCTGCGTTGCCTAGTGAAAGCATCTATTCCCATGGCCTTTGATAAAACTTTTTATTTTGCTTGAATCCACTCCCCAAAAACTTGGCAAAAGGAAAAGAGCTTGCCTTTGCAATTCAGAAAAGGATCTTTGAAGTGAAATATTTGGCTCAGTATAATACTTTGAACATTTTAAAATCTATGTAAATACTGAATATTATTAAAGTCATGCTCTTTGGATTTACTGTCTCAGGCATTAGTCCCTTGGGACAACCAATCCCTTTAGATTCTCAGCCTAACATGCCTTCTCTTATTACTGAAGGTACTAAAATGATAACTGCTATTCCTACTTGGAAATTGTACAGCATTTTCACATGCTCAATATGCTTTATATAATTGTTCAATGAACCATATTATAGATGGAAATATTGAGTTTGGGAGGCAGTAGATTGCCTAAAACCACTTACTGAATTTATAGCTAAGGTGAGATTGGAACTACTGAATTTGGTTTCATAGCTTAATCTGTTGAAAATCAGAGTCACTGCTCTCTTTCTTCCTTTCCTCCCACTCTAGCACAGTGAGATGATGGCATGTTTTTTTTTTCTTTACTTGCTTGACAGAGGAGCCAACTATATCAGTTAGGAGATCAGTTGCTATGAGAAATGGAACCTTTTATCAGATTTTGGCAGAGGATTTGAGTGTCTGATGTAAGAATAAATAGCAATTTTGCTCTTTGGCTTTATCTAGGCAGTAGGTTTCTCCCAACTCATGTAATGGGGGTAGAAGAATTAATTGGGAGGTTGGGGATTCATGATTACAATTGCCATAAATATCTGAGAGCCTCTTATTTGCATCTTTATTTCATGGATAAATGCCACAAATAGCATGTGAAATTTAGAATCATGTACATCTGTATTTATTTGTTTATAATTTTATATTCCATTCTTCTAATAAGTATAAGTACCTCAGAATAGCTAACAATAATCAAAACCACCAAAGCAAAATGAAAATAGTTTGGCCTAGTGGCTAAGGTTCTATCTAGTCCCACCATAGGCATGAAATCTTGCTGGTTGACTTTGGGCCGGTCACTCTCTTTCACCTCACAGCTGAGGTTCTTGTGCAGAAATTAGAAGAAGGAAGGAGTATTAGATATGTTTTCCATTTTATTTAGGAAAATAGTAAAGGCAGAATAATAAAGCATAAACAAGTTTGAGAAAAAAGAAAACCCAAGTAAAATATACATTGTGAATAGTTTACTGCCTTCCTAAAAAGAATGTTCTCTTCTTCCTATTAATCAGAAATTATTTTAGTTCACCTTTTACTGTTTTCTGTTTTGAAGAGGGAAGAAGATGCAAAGTTATGCTTTGAACTGCTGGCCATTTACATCTTTAACTTATGAACCACATGATATCCATGAAGATGAATAGAAGTTTAGAGAATAATAGCAAATTTATTTTTTAAATGCTTATACCACCCATCTCTTCTACATGGTGACTGTGGATGGTTTATAGGTTATAAAATAAATAAAAAATAGAAATTTAACAGATTAAAACAACACAAAGTTAAAATATTATTTAAAACAATATTAAAATTGAACTGAGAAAGCTAAGAACCAAATACGACAAGGAAGAAGTCTTCTTACCTTGTCAGCTGCCTCCTTGGGGCCTCAGGCCAGCCCACAAAGCCAGGTTTTGATATCCTTCCAGAAGGCCAAAATGGAGGGGGCAGTTCTCACCTTCAGTGATAGAATGTTCCAGAGGGATGGGGCCACAACAGAAAAGGCTCTTCTGTTCAATCATGCTTGCTTAGCAGATGGGATCTGTAGCAGGCCTCTTCCACTGGCGCAAGTGGAGCATCCTTATCCCATCAGAGAGAGACAGCTCCTCAGACAACCTGGACCTATGCCATGTAGGGCTTTAAAGGTAACAACCAACACCTTGAATTGGATCTGGAGGCGAACCGGTAACCAATACAGCTCGTGCAATAAGAGTGTTACATGTGCAGCCTTAGGAGCTCCCAGGATCGGACAGAATTGACAGAAAAGAGGAATATAAACAATATGAATATTCAAATATCAAGCATCTATATCTCCAACATATTCCCAAGCTGAACATTGCTGTAAATTGTTCACAGCTTCCAGTTCGATATATCAAAAGCACAAGTCCTTTCCACATCTTTTCCTTCAATTCAGGAGAAAAAGGCAAGGTCAAAATGAGTTCTGCCACATCTCTTGGATGGAGTGTTATCTGAGCCCAGATGATGTGGCCACCTTGATACTGAGCTGCTTTGTTCAAAGTAACCTCAGCATGGGTATTACGTTTCCTGAACCATCCGTCTTAGGGTCCCATACATTTAAAGTCAAAGTCACCTATATCAATTCCCTCACTGTTACCAGTGGGATGGAATGTAAGATAATTTCAATCTATTCTGGAGTCCCTGTCCTCAGTTGATGACTTGGAAATCTAGCTGAATGCTGAGCTTGACCAACACTTAATTTATTTATTTCCGGTTAGTTGAGCTGGTATTGATCAACAGCATTTATAAGCCAATTGGTCTTTTTACTAAGGCTATAAAGTGATCTGGAAAGGAGGTAAAGCTCTCACTTCAATGGTTCAGTATTTGTCCTTATTGCCCCCAAAAGACAGGGTACAAAATGGAAATTCCTGGTGTGTCTTCCCCAGTTATGGTCAAGCATCAGTGACAACTTTTGTGGTAAGTTCCACCTCCCAGAAAGTACCTATTCCTCACTGATTAGGTTCTTATTGTATTGGGTTTATCTTCAAAATGTATTTGTATATATGCATATGCATCAGTCTTTTAATGACTGCTGAATATACTGCAAAAATCTGTATGAACTCCTAATGCTTACAGTAATAAAACAAAGGTAAAGCCAAGGCCACAATACAATAATAATACATCATAATCATACACTGGCTTCCAATTCCTCATGGCCTAAATGCTCTCTGGAAAAGCTCTGTGCAGATGCTAATTTCACCTCAAGAGGGAGGTGTAAGTCCCTGCCCCTTTAATCTCCCAATAATGTTAACACATTTTGCTGGGGTGCACGCATGTGGACAAGCAAATTCTATGATTCTAGAAGGAAACAATGTTGAAGAAGTCTAGGAGAATAAACACATGGCACAACATAGGAGAACAAACGCATCAGGACTAGATTCAGCAGTCCGTCTACATTTAAAAGACAAAGGCCACTGTTTTTAAGACAACAAAGTCCATGTTGTATTAGTCTAGACGGACACACCAGGCAGACACAGGAGCTGAAGAATAACGTTTCTTTATTTGAAGCAGTAACAGATTAACGTGGCTGCCCAGCTGGGCTGGCAGCCGGCTGGCTGGAGCCGGAGCCCCAAAAAGCCCAGTTGATGCCGTTTGACAGCTCCTTATATAGTCTACTGTCAAACGGCACCAACCAATGGGAACAGTAAGATGGTCCCGCTCAAAATGCGGACCAGGTTGAAGACTTAGCTAGTCAGGGACACAACACCCCTTTCCCCTAGCTAAGGACATGCGCTGCCCAGCCTTTTGGGAATACAATGGTATAACCAGGGAATTGAACTAGTGAGGAAATTGAACTAGTGGCCAGGGACTAGCACCTGGCCTGGGAACGTGGCAAGCAACCCTGCCCAGGTGACCTCCCGCCTGTGGCGGAGTAGGGGCCCCACATCCCAAGGGTTGTGGGTCAAATACTGACAGCTGCCTGCCTTGGAACCAACGCTGTAGAGATGGCAGGTCTAGCTGTGGCTTGCACAAAAAATGGCACCCCACCTGTCACAAGGCAGGAGCCTGAGAAGGGGAACCAGGTAAGATGGTGAATAAACCTGTCTGGTGACTGCCTGCATGGGGTAGGGCAGAGGTGCCTGAACCCTAAGGCTGGAGGCTCGTTGTGCTCTCCTGGCCCCCCTTGGGACAAGAACATCCAACCTCCCACCTACCTAGCTTTCGCCCCCCTGGGGGGTGTAGTGCTAATGACAAGGGAGACAAGCCAAGGTGGGAGAGACCCTGGAGGTGGGTGCATGGAATTTCCTTGTTCAACGCCTGACACCCCCCTCCCCCTAAATACCGGATCCATCCCCCCAGAGCCATTGGAAGGGGGGGGGGCAGAGAGAATTTTTATTATCTGCA